TTGGTTGTCAGCAGCAAAACTGGTTGATCCACTCTGAGGAGGTGCTATTTAAGAGAGTGAGCTGAATACAGCACCTCAGACTGAGGAAGTCTCTCGGACGAGAGACGAAACGTTTCTACATTTTTTGTTGTTTTGCTTTGTTTTGGTTTTTTTTTTTTTTGAATGTCCAGAGGACCAGATTTAACTTTTTTAGATCCTTCTTGATGGACAGACATCATGGACACCACAGCAGCAGCTGTCTTCACTGAAACATCCTTAAATGATCGTCACTGACATGAGGCCTCTGTCGATGGTTGAAGATACAATGATCCACACTTTTAATCCAGGTTACAATAATCCACACTTTTAATCAATGTTACAATAATCCACACTTTTAATCCAGGTTACAATAATCACACTTTTAATCCAGGTTACACTCTTCCCTCAAGGACACATTTTACAAAGTAGCTACATATTGTGCAGGTATAAAGATACATTTGTATATTAGTGTACATTTATTTTTTAAGCTATTTGACTAACTTTTATTTTTTATTATTCAATATTTTACTAACAGAATAGTCAAATAGCAACCTGTTTTTGTGTGAATTGCTATGTCAGTCAAATGTTCAATTTTCGAATAAAGGGGTGGAAATTAAAACAATGTTTGTTTGTTTTTTCTGATTCATCGATTAATCGAAAAAGTAATCGGCCGATGAATCGATTATTGAAATAATCGTTAGTTGCAGCCCTACCGGCAACCCCCGTGACCCAAAATGGAAGAAGCGGGTAAAAGATAATGGATGAATGGATAGAAAGTAATTGTTAAATTTAAGAAGAAATGTTGTCAATTGGTGTAGTACCTTTTTTGACCACTAGATGGCAGTATAAGACTGTTTGACCTGAAGGAAACACACTAAATTTTGTGAAGATTATACGTATAACTGAAGCTATTTGTTTTATTTGTAAATCTTTGTTGGTATGAGGTTGGTAACTGGTTTATTTAAGTCATGTGATGTGGGTGGGGCATAGCAGGAGAGAAAGTCCAGACAGACTAGATGGGGAGTGAAGCCAAACAGTTTTTTGACCTCCCTAGCTCTTTTCCTGTTTAATTACCAACTTGTGGATAAGTTATTTTTGCTTACTTTTTTGCTGTACATGTTTCATTTTTAAGTAAAACTTTAAACACAAGCCACTGAGAATAATTATTTTTTTCTGGATAAGAATTATGCCGGAGTCCATGGGAGCATCAGGCTCAGGTTTCACTCAATAAGAAGATACACTGTATGTATGTATGTATGTATGTATGTATGTATGTATGTATGTATGTATGTATGTATGTATGTATGTATGTAGGTATGTAGGTATGTAGGTAGGTAGGTAGGTAGGTAGGTAGGTAATGTATGTATGTAATGTATGTATGTATGCAGTGTTTCCCCTACCATTATAGAAGCGGGGCGTCCCGCCCCGTAAAACAGAACAGAGTACCCCCTCTACCGAACCCCACCCCCACCCACCTGTCGGCACTGATGTAACGCTAAACTAGCGGCTCGTAATGCAGGTGTGCTAGCTAAAAACCTAAAGGCAGCCTCTTCCCTCATGCTGAACCCTCATGCTGAACGCACCCCTGCCACTCGAAAATTGTCGATACAAACAGCACACAGCTCAGATGTGTGTCTGTCTCTCCTCTCACTCCAGATTTGTGGTGCATAGAAGCTGAATGCTGCTTCTCTATATGTTTGGTGTTAGGTTCTGATTCTGGGGATGCAGACCAGACCAGAATCAGAAGATAAATGGAAGGTTGGTGATTGTCCTGTAATTCTGTGATTTGTCCAGACTGTTCTTTTTTTTATCAGTGGTTTGATAACTGCTGTTTTTAAAGCCTGGGGGAAAACACCTGATGAGGGGGATGAGTTTACTATATGAATCCGATCAGATGCAATGACAGGCAGAACTCTCTTAAGGAAAGTTGTGGGTAGGATATCAAGACAGCAGGAGAAGCTTAACTGATGTATAATTTCTTCTAAGCTTTTATAGTTGAGTAGTTTACATATAGTCATTTTCTCTGTATATATATATATATA